AAATAGGACTGATGGCCGCCATTTAGTTTAGCAATGAAGAATGATCAAATATATCTCAAGAGCCACATTTGTAGTTAAGAATAAGTACATAACAAAAATAACAACTTAGCCTACATATTACACAACTGAGAAGCTGATACCACTGCCCACTAGAAAGCTTCGGCACTGTTTCTTGACACCATAAAATGTTTTACTGTAATCTATAGTAATATCAGTTCTGTTTAGCATCTTTTTTTTCTGAAATGACAAAGTTTTATGGCTCTAATTGGTTCTTATTTAAGGCATCCTTCGCTTTGGGTTTCGTAGTTGTTAAGGACCTAAACTCTATTTAGGTGTAGAGTATATTGTATATTCTGTGTTTGTAAATACATTGCAAGAGTTTAAAATAGTTAAAATAGTATACTTGGTCTGCCTTAAGCAAAGTATAATTAACGAATAGTGGTTGGGTTCTTATGTTTCTGATATTTCCTTATTATTTTCGCAAATGCGAAGAATCCTCTTCTGCATGGAGATAATTTTGACATAGTTCAAATTGATCGTCGTCCCCCAAACTAAGATGCCGTAACTGATGTCTTTTTTGGCCAGGTGGGCAGCAAGTTTCGTATTTTATATATAATTTCCATACCACGAAATAATTCACCTTTGAGTTTATTCACGTGAGTGTTCCATGAAGCCATAAACCAGTAAACCATTACACGGAGAAATGTTTCTTCCGACACTTGCTCAAGCACAGTGTCTTCAAATTTTAAGCTTATTGGTCTGTAATCGAGTTTATTTAATTGTTTAAAAATAATATACTTAGTTTTGCTTGTATTTAGTTTTAAACAGTTTGTCTTTAACCAATTGGATAGCTTCAATAGGTAGAGATTTGCAGAATTTTCTAGGCATTTTTTCGTCATTCCAGAAAATAATACGTTGGTATCGTCTGCATACATTATTAGATAGGGGGAACCGGATACAGTCGTTATATTATTAACTTATATCAAAAAAGGAAGCGGACCTAAAATTGGACCTTTGAAGAACACCATGCTGTATTCGAAAGGATGATGAACCAAACATTTCACTGCCTATAATAAGTGGCGCACTATCTTTCCATGAGTCATCTGCGCGAGCTCACGCAACGAAATTGACATCATCATATCCCCCGTTTACGCTTAATGAGCTCGAATGGGGGATGTGATGACGTGAATTTTGTTGCGTATGCTCGCGCATACCGGTGGCTGCTGAATCATGGAAAGATAGTGCGCAACTTATTATGGACAGTGAAATGTTTGCGTCAGCATCCCTTTAAGTCTATTTGACGATTCACCGTTTTTTAGTTCCTAAAGGTTACGATCCGCAAGATACGTTTCAATTAATTTTTTGAGCTACTCCGCGCACACCGTAAGCTTCAAGGTTTCTAAGTAGAGTATTGTACTGCACAATATCAAAAACTTTAGTTAAATCCAAGAGACCAGGAGTAAATATTTTGTTATTAATATTTTCAACTGTTCTATCCCTTATGTTAAGACGCGATAGCTCTGTTGATTTTTGCTTTTGAAAGTTGTATTGGCACTGCGTTATTGTAATATGCTTCTAAAAAAATAAGAAAAAAAAACGTGTTAATCTATCAGCAATCACACGCTCAAATATTTTAGAAAAAACTGGAAGAACTAAAATAGGTCTGCAGTTATTCATGTTTGTCTCACCACCTCTTTTATACACTAGAGTAACCTTGGCTATTTTTACCTCGTCAGGGGAATCACCAGACTGAAGCATCTTATTAACTATATTCGATCGAACTGTACTAATTATGGCCACAGTGCACTTAATAGGTAGGGTTTTTATTTAATCGATTCCAGCGACGACGTCAATTTTTTAAGTTTTTGATTATTCTATCAATTACAAATGGTGTCGTTGGAGTACGCATAATCGACCCAATTCGGTTTCCTGCTTCAATACAGTGATCCATGTTGGAATCCCTCCCAGTTTACGCACCCGTGCTAAAAACAATTATATGCATTGCATCGCCAAGTTCTTTCCAAGTGACACGTTTGTCATCTATTACTATTTCTTTCAGATTGTATCGTACCTGCTCTGTTCATGAGTTTGTTTACCGTGTTCCACGCTTCTCTATGGTCATTCTGTTTACGTAGAAGGTCTTTTTGATAGTATTCGCATTTCATTTTTTTTAGGTTGGCATTCACTTTGTTTCTACATTTCTTAAACCCGAAAAGCAACCGCGCATCACGATGCTGAATAAAATAAATTATACTTTGCATTTTCCTGCATGATTCTTTCATACAGGTCGCTAATCATCCAAGGCTTTCTAATATATATATATATATTTTTACATTTCCTTCTACGTTTTCGAAGAGGAAATGCTGCATTAAAGTACTGTCTTACTTTTTTCAGGAATATTTTATGGGCATTTCTAGGGTTGCACTCAAAGTAAACGTGATCCCACGCTTCTTCTTCCGTAAGGCAGGCGAAAGTCCTTAGCATTTCCTCATTAATAGTGCCATGCTAAAGCGTCTCTATGTCTTTGTTATTTTCTCTAGCATAGGAGGGTTCTAGGCAGAAGATTGGAAGATGGTTACTAATATCACAGATGATGGCACCTGCGGTAATATGACGAGAAATTCAGACCGATTGGAGCATTCTAGCCGAATCGCAAATTCTAGTGAAATTTAGCCGTTAGGTGACTGGACACCTCAGCCGGATTGATACGTAATATTGTCTTTTGAGCTGATTCATTGCAAGTCTCGTCAAATATGTGAGTCAAGTCCCGTCAAATATGTGAGTCTGTTCATGTCGCTGACTTAAAAGATTCTATGAACCCAAGGAGGTAAATGTGTAGCAGGTTCCAGATAGCAATATTCGAGTTCACCTCTCAGAAACTTCCACAACGTCTATGTAACGTTAAAACCCGTGACGCAGGTGAGGGCAACGATATGAGAACCATTATGCGTCCATCAGAAAAGTTGCAGCGGCGACGTAGCCTCCATCATAGAACTGAACACGGCCGCATCAGTACCGTCTGCGAGTGCTGATGAAGTCCTTATGCGACACTGACAGTGTATTTATGCTTCCCAATCCGAAATCATTAACCATCCCATGGAACGAAGCCGGTAATGTCAGTAACTTAAAAAAAAAAAACGCAAACGAAGTGCCTATTTTCTCATTGGCTGAGCAAAGCGGTTCTTAGATATCCATTGGTGGCCGCTGCACGTATGCGCGCGTTTGGCCGCCGGCCGCAACCTGGGCAGTAGCGAAACGTGGCCGTCCACGAAAGTACACCGCAGACAAATTAAGGAAGCGGCAGAACGAAAATCATGCTTTCGCATTCAGAACACATAAGACGTGCTTAGATGCCCTTGGAAGTTATAGTTCTACATGACATATAAGAGCGCGACTGCACGGAACAGAATTTTCGGCTCGAAATTCGTTCTCGTTTCGCCCGAAAACAGCCGATCGAGAACTCTATGATTTGAGTCAAAGCCACTTTCATCACCGAGGTTACATGCCGTTCTCTATAATTTAAACAGAATCACACATATAATTAAAGTCCTGGATTATCGAAGGCACACTTAATATTAAAATAGAAGAAAAATGAAAGCCGTTTACAACTCCCCGTAACGCCGAATTAGAGCGCAGCTCTTGAGGAGGAGGAGGGAAGGGTACTGAGGGTCACGTGCTCTCGGGGGGGGGGGGTCACGTGACCTTGAGGGGGGTCACGTGACGTCGGGTGGGGGGTCACGTGACCTCTCTCCCCGAGGTCACCGAAGGTACCCGAGGTCCTCCCGACGTCCTCCCGAAGGAACCCAAGCTCCTCCCGAGGTCCTCCCGAAGGAACCCGAGGTTCTCCCGAGGTCCTCCCGAAGGAACCCGAGAGCCTTCCGAGGTCCTCCCGAAGAAACCCGAGGTTCTCCCGAAGGAACCCGAGGTCCTCCCGAAGGAACCTGAGGTCCTCCGAGTTCCTCCCGAAGGAACCTGAGGTCCTCCGAGTTCCTCCCGAAGGAACCCGAGGTACTTCCGGAGGACCGGGTTCCTTTGGGAAAATGTAAGCATAATGCACCGCGCGGTTACGCCGAAGGCGACGACGACGGCGACGCCGACGCCGCTCAAGCCGAAAACGGGCGCCTAAGAGCTGCGCTCTAAAACATGATAGCCACTTCTGTGGCTTCTAAAGTGCTGCAAATATGCTGATTAAAAAAAAATGCACAGCCACGTGACTTCTGGCAACTCTCTCCTCCTTTATATTTCTTCTTCCTCCCCAGTCCAGAATAAGTTTCGCTATAAAAGAGTTGCGGTTCTTTTTAGAACGCAGCTCTTAGGCGCCCGTTTCCAGCTTGAGCGGCGTCGGTGTCGCCGTCGCTGTCGACGTCGGCGTAACCGCGAGCCCCCCCCCCCCCCCCTCTCTCCAAGGACCTCGGGAGGACCTCGGGAGGACTTCGGGAGGACCTCGGGTTCCCTCGGGAGGACCTCGGGAGGACCTAGGGTTTCTTCGGGAGGACTTCGGGTACCTTCGGTGACCTCGGGGAGGGTGGGTCACGTGACCCCCTCCCGAGGTCACGTGACCCCCCCCCTCCCCGAGGTCCGTGACCCCCCTCCCCAAGTTCATGTGACTCCCACCCCGAAATCACGTAACCCCCCCCCCCCCCTCCCCGAGGGCACGTGACCCACCTCCCTGAGGTCATGTGACCCCCCTGTTGCGAATTGCCAAAATAGCTCGCGGGACTGTGGGCTAAAAGAGAAAAAAAAAAGAAGCTGAGAAAAGAATGGACTGATGCGCGAGGACCACGGAAAATCTTCCCCTGGACATTTGCCTGTACATATGTAAATATCCCGTCAGTAATTGAGTGTATTTCTTTTCGATTCAACAACCTCGAACGAATTAATCCGCATGGAAGTGCAACATGGTGCCGAAACCCGGGACTGAGGATCGAACAGCGTAAGCGGGACTCCGAACGTTGCCGATCGACTAAACTCCACTGCTGTGGGATCTTGGACACTTACATATGGAACGCCTGAAATCGAAGCACACCGTCCGACGTTCGCAAAACACCTGGCTCATCAACGAAGCTACTGCAGTTCTTGAAACTGCAGACCTGGCTACTCTGACATTGCTGCTCGAACGACTGACTACGAGCAACAACGAGCTCCGTCAAATTAATACCGAGACCGAAGACCACATCAGCGATGGACACCTCGTAGCAGAATACACTGCAGTAGTCCAGTACGATGACGAGGCTACGAGAATGATCGCCGTGCTGGGTAGTAGGGCAGCTACCCTCCGGGAGAAGGAAAGACAACCGCCGCCTCCGCCATCGGTGACGACGCAGTCAGCAACAGCGACCGGAGAAGCAGCACAAGCTAATAGAGCCACGGGAGTCAAGCTTCCCAAGCTACGTCTCCAGACGTTCAACGGCGACATTGGTGAATGGCAGAACTTCTGGGAGCAGTTCTCTAGTTCAATCCATGATAACGAGAGCGTCCCGCGCTGCCAGAAGTTTCACTATCTGCGCACTCTTGTCACCGGACCAGCAGCTGCAGCGATCGCAGGGCTACAAGCCATTGACGCCTGCTACGATGACGCCATAGAGATTCTTTCTGGTCGATTCGGAGGCAGACGACGAATCGAACAAGTCCATCTGGCAAAACTGCGGACGTTGCCATCCGTCAGTTCATCAAACGACACCAGAGGTCTACGACGAATGTACGACCACATACAGACAAAACATCCGCGGACTGAAGGCTCTCGGGGTTGGGTCAGACACGTATTCCACCATGATATCTGACATTATACTGAGAGCACTACCAAAAGACCTAGTCGTCGATTACTACTGACGAACTAGCTTTACATACCCAACAACGTCGACTGAAGCCGTCCAGCAAAGACCTGAAGCAGCACAAGCTTCAAGTCACAGCTCCGCTATCTCGGCCAGCACCATCCCAACAGCTCCGCTTGTTGATGGGGAGCTTTCACGGATCCTGAGCTTCATTCGGAAAGAGGTGGAAAATAGAGAAAGAGCCGGGTTAACTGAGACGACAAGCCTAGCGTCGAGACAGAATCAGAAAGATCAAGCACGGCGATCCAGAAAGCCAGCAGCTGCAGTACTGCAGACAAACACGGATCCTGGTTGCTTCTTCTGCAAATCAACGAAGCACTCAACTGAGACCTGCGTTTTACCCCTTGGACAAAAGAAAACGCGACTATACGGTGACATGCGATGTTTTCGATGCACTAAGAGGGGACATCGAGCAAAGAACTGTCGTGGAAAGGTCTCATGTTCTTCTTGCTCCGGAAGACATGTCACGTCAATGTGTGACCCCAACTGGAAACCGCGCTCAAAAGGTACTGGTGAAGAGGCCCTGATTACAAGCGTGCAGAACACCAGCGCCAAAAAGGTAGATATTTGCCTGGACAACGAAGTTCTTCTCCAAACATTCCGTGCATGGGCTGTTACAGACGACGATAACTGCTATTTCCGTGCCATCATCGACGGAGGGAGCCAGCGGACATTCATTGGCAAGGATATGTCCCGCAAACTTAATCTCAAGGTGCTGAAGCAGACAAGTCTTCGGTTGAATACGTTTGGGATCCCAAACGCCCTAGCTCAACAACTGCGAATCGTACAAGTACGACTACGTAGTCAGTATGGTAAGACTGAGTGTCTCCTTGAGGCGGTAGAAATACCATTCATCTCCAATGACATTACGCAAGTGCCAACAGACTACGAATTGCTTCGTAGTGTCGATGAGAAAAAAGGGCACATCGCGGACGATCTATTGTTCCCAGGCATGCCGTCTGTACCTGGCATAAGCATGCTTATCGGATCTGATAAGCTATGGAAGATCACGAAAGATCAAGTACAACGGTGTTGTAACAACGAAAAGATGACAGCTACTAATACCATCTTTGGCTGGACTTTTAATGGTCCTATATCACTCCAAAGTTCCTTGACCTGCAGTGCCGCCACGACGACCTGCGTTCTGAACATCAGGGCGTTTGAAAGCAACCAAACTGAATCAACGCTGCGCAATTTTTGGGAACTGGAGAGTATAGGAATAACAGACCAACCTTGTGCCCAAAATGAAGTACACAGTTCAGTGTACAAAGATTTCTGTCGAATGATCTCGAAGTCAGAAGGACGGTACGAAGTATGCCTGCCTTGGAGGCCAAACACAGAGGAGTTGAAGGACAACCGAGTGATGACTGTCAAACGACTCGAAGGACTGAAAAGAAGACTTTTGCGGAACGAGCTTCTTGCGAAGGACTATGACACAGTCATCAGAAACTACATCACCGCCGGACAAGCGGAGAAGGTACCCACAAGATCATCAGATATCGAGTCTCCATGTAAGCGTTTATACTTCATGCCTCACCAAGCAGTGGTTCGAAGCGAATCGGAGACCACAAAACTACGGGTAGTCTTTGACGCGTCTTCGCATGAGCCAAAGGTTACTTCCCTTAACGAACACCTTGAGAAAGGACCTAAGATGAACGCTGATCTTGTCAAGATCTTGCTGCGCTTCCGTCTGCATCCAATCGCCGTTACAGCGGATATAGAGAAGGCGTTTTTACAGATTAGTGTACGACCTGAAGACAGAGATGCACTACGCTTCCTTTGGTTTGAGAACGACGTGAGCTCATTGAAAACAGCTCCGAAAATCGAAGAATGGAGAATGACGCGCGTTCCTTTCGGAACATCCGCTAGCCCATTCCTTCTTACTGCGACGCTGGTCCATCACCTGCGAAACGTGAAGGAAGAATGGAAGAGCACAGCTCAGCTCCTTCAAGAATCATTCTACGTCGATGATTTGTTGGTCGGGGCTCAGTCTACCGAAGAGGCAGCTAGCATACATGACCAAGCAAAACTAATTTCGGAGGATGCAGGAATGATGCTCCGGAAGTGGTCGACCAATTCAAGAGAATAGCGAAACCTGTATGAGGAAAGTTCAGATACACTGTTCGCCGAACCTAAGACGGTTCTTGGGCTACGATGGAGACGCGAGAATAATCAGCTAATGATTCCCGCCACTAACATCTTGAACTTCGTCACGTCGAACGAGAAAACCAAACGTCACGTACTGCAAGCAGCGGCCAGAGTGTTCGCCCCGTTGGGGATGATCGCTCCATACGTAACGAGAGTGAAGGTACTATTCCAACGCATTTGGGAAAGGGGCCTTGACTGGGACGATTATCTACCGGACGATTTGGAGTCACAATGGCAAGGTTGGTGCTCTGAACTACAGCGTATACAAGACGTAGTGACAGGTCGCTGTATTATAAAGGCTCCAAGCAAATGCATTCACTCTCTACAGCTACACATCTTTTGTGACGCAAGCCCGCTGGCTTACGGAACTTGTGCTTACTTGAGAGTCAAGGACAGCGATGGGAAAGTAGATGCAAATCTGGTACTCTCAAAGTCACGTGTAGCACCGATAAAACGGCTCACACTTCCTCGACTTGAACTGATGGCGGCAGTGGTCGGGAGACGAATGGGACATTACCTCGAAGACATCCTGAGCTGGCAGGACACGTTATACTGGACAGATAGTACTATCGTTCTCCATTGGATAAAGGGAAATGCAAACAAATGGAAGCCCTTTGTTGCAAATAGGGTGGCCGACATCCAAGCTAAAGGGACACCAGCGGGCTGGAAACACTGCCTTGAACTGGATAATCCAGCGGATTTAATAACACGGGGAATAACCGCAGAAGACTTGTTGACAAGTCAAGTATGGTGGAAAAGCCCGACATGTCTTTCAATGAATGAAAACACTTGGCCCGGTGTGCCTACCACTGAGACTGTCCCGGATGCGGCTATTGAAGATGAAAGGCGACATGTGCATCATGCGCTCCAAACGACTACAGAACGGGAGCCGCCCCTCCTGGCGTTAAAGGACTACATCAAACTTGGACGCATTCTTCGCATCACTGCCTGGGTGATGAGGTTCGCCAAGAATTGTAGGAAACAGAACCAACATCACGGCCCTTTGAAAACGGAGGAGCTCGAGCGAGCAGAGGCTTATTGGATCTCCCGAACCCAAATGGAGACTTACTCACAAGAAATGAAAGATATTTCTGACAACAAAGGGGACAATGTAAAATCTGCTATACACTCACTAAGCCCCTTCGTCGACTCAACCGGACTTTTGAGGGTTGGTGGACGACTCCAGAACGCTAACGAAACGGCGAGAGTGAAACACCCACTCCTACTTCCTCCTGAGCATCCTTTTACAGAGCTGATTGTGCACGACTGTCATCTACGAACTCTCCACGGAGGTATCCAGGACACCACAGCACAACTGCGAGAGCGATCTTGGGTGCCGAGAGGACGACGTATCGCAAAGAAGATCATACACAGGTGTAATGGCTGCGCTAGACTGAGAGCAAAGGGGGCCTCTGCTCCCACAGCACCACTTCCACAGGAGCGAGTGAGTGAAGCCGCTCCATTTGAAGTGGTTGGGATAGATTTTGCCGGACCGCTCTTTGTGAAGTCCCAGCCGTCCGACGAGAAGGCTTACATCGCACTGTTCACCTGTGCGGTTACGAGAGCAGTTCACCTTGAACTTGTCTCAAATCTATCGGCTGCGGCTTTCATCATGGCATTTCAACGATTTACATCACGACGGGCACTGCCCAGGATTGTTTACACAGACAATGCCCTAACGTTTAAGAAGGCATCGAGAGATCTCTGCAACTTATGGAATGCAATCCGAGACAAAAGTGTCCAGGAGCACTACTTGAAGCATCGTATTACATGGAAATTTATCGTGGAACGAGCGGCATGGTGGGGAGGATTTTGGGAGCGGATGGTGCGAACGGTGAAGACCTGCCTCCGGAAAGTTTTGGGAAAAGATCGATACAACTTCGAGAAACTCACTACTATTCTCCATGAGGTGGAAGCCATTGTTAACTCTAGACCGCTGACGTTTCTGCATGCCTCTTCAGGTGAGCAGGAAGTGCTAACTCCCGCACACTTTCTGACCGGAAAGCGCCTGACGTCGCTTCCAACATCATGCGAACCAGACACAAAAATCGACACCAGCAACGACGTCACTCGTCTTTGGAAGCACCATCAAAGGCAGCTAGATCACTTCTGGACTAGATGGCGATTGAAGAAGATATTGAAGAATATCTTCTTCAATTGCGGTCCGCGCACGAGTCGCCTAACCGTCAGTTGAGTAGAATACAGACTGGAGACTTAGTGCTCATAGAAGAGGAAAAGACACCGCGACATTTGTGGCGCACAGGACGTGTCCAAGAGCTTTTTCACGGGAGGGACGGAGTCGTACCTTTGATGCTCCGTTGCCTTGCCGGGTGCACAAGTGCTGAAGCGACCAGTGCAACTGGTGTACCCCTTAGAACTTGTAGAATGAATGAGCGTTGATTCATGCGCTCATTTCGGGGGGAGCGTGTTGCGAATTGCCAAAGTAGCTCGTGGGACTGCGGGCTAGAAGAGAAAAAAAAGAAGCCGAGAAAAGAATGGGCTGATGCGCGAGGACCACGGAAAAGCTTGTTCTGGACAGTTGCCTGTACATATGTAAATATCCCGTCAGTAAATGAGTGTATTTCTTTTCGATTCAACAACCTCGAACGAATTATTCCGCCTGGAAGTTCAACACTCCCCCCCCCCCCCACAGTACCCTTCCCTCCTCCTCCTCAAGGGCTGCGCTCTAATTCGGTGTTATAGGGAGTTGTAAACGGCTTTCACTTTTTTAAACCTTAATTAAAGTATACGTTACGCCGTAGCAAACTATTGATTGGACAGTCTTTGGACACCATATTAAA